CTTTTACTTGTAATATATGAAGTATGCCATTTCATGTTATTTTTCCTTGTCATACCTATCTGTTTTACTTCAATCTTACATATTTACTGTTTTACTATCCACTCTACATCCAATCCTCCTAAAGTTTTGTTTTTTCAGTTTTGTATTGGTGTAGTTATCACCCTGATATAGTGTTATTTATTTTATGTATATTAGTTCTGTAAATTGTCTCTCATTCATATAACTTAAAAATTTTGATTTGATCGCCATAGATTTAGTAAAAAGAGTAATATTATTTAATCACAATTGAGAAGTTTTCAATTTTGATAGAACAAATAAATGAATAGTCTGAGTTACTTTTCATGGTGTATCATGAAAAGGGAGAAGGTTTTTTCTTTGCATTGGTAGCTAGATAGATTGGTTTCACAGCATTCATCTATCTTTTGTTGTCATAGCTTTTGTATGATTATTTCCGACTTTGTTTGTTTTTAGCTTTGGTAAATTTTATTTTCTTTTGAATCAATGGTGACGGTGAACTGAGGAGAAATTTTCTTAATAATTTTAACATAAGTGTGATTTGATTTATAATATTGAGTCTGAGTGATTCAATACAATTGCCTTTTCCTGCCGAGCTTTGCAAAGTTTCATCTGAAAAGTTTTTTTTTATTTTTTTATTTTTATTTGCTACATGCTGCCGGGTTCAAAAATCTGAGAACATATAATAATGCATGGATATCATTCCAGTGTTTTTTGTAGGTTAGATGTAATGATTATATTAGAGCTAAAATTTTTATGTACATTATTGATGTTGTAATAATCAGTGCTGTTTTTTTATAATAAATTCATCTAGATGTGCACCATGTCATATTTCTCTAAATTTTGTTTATGCTCGAAAAATTCCAGTTGTTTACATGGGCAAAGAATGTAATATAAGGAAATGCCTGGCTAAAATTCTGACAAATTTAGGTGGTCCTCTGACTTAATTTGTCTTTAGAAGGTAAACCCTTTATTATTGAGGATTTTACCATTTTAGTTGGAAGTTAGGGCAAATTTCTTCATTCTCCCAAGCTAACAGTTTTCATAATTCTTTCATGAACGCGGTAATCTGTTAATTTTTAAATGGGAAACTAAGATATTACAATTGCTACCATATGATGCATATTTATTGAGAAATATGATCTTTAATGTTGAGCATTCAATACATTCAAAACTCAATGCATAGATGTGATATGATCTGGCATCAAAATTAGCACACTTTTCCATAGAAATTAGGGCAAAATAATGTTTTCTTCAATGACCCCAATAACTCAACAAAAATACAAAAGATGAGCACCTACAATTCAAAAAGTAGGTGATGTCTTCCAATTCTTACAGTTCGAGAGGTAGAAAATCTCTTCTAAATCCTGAACCTAAGACATATAATCCAATCTCATGCATCCCCTAAAGCTAAACATAATAAGTTTATTTATATCCAACAATAATAATATTAAAAAGACTAAATTATCCTTAGGCACAAAAAAGATAACCTCGACATACACCATGAGAACTTGTAATTTTAGATCCTTGCAACTATGTATGGTGTAAATTTCTTATCACACCGAAAATCTAACATCTTTGCTTGTTTCTCTAGCATCTTTGTCTCTGTAAGCCGCTTGAGATGCTCCCGGTCTTGGCCCCTTATTCCTACCTTTTGCAGCCTACATCTGGTCTTTTGTTGTTTGAGCTTTTAGCACGACCTCATGTTGGTCTGTTTCATCTGGTTCTTGTCCTCCATCATCTGGGTTAACTCCATTGTCTTCTTCAATTCCTATAGTTTCAATAGTCGAGTGCTACCCGTATGTCGGACTTTAGGCACTTCATGAAATTTCACTTCAATCCTGCTTCAGAAATCCCCCTTAGTTGTCCCAACAATAGGTCGAATCTCTCCTTATTTCATGAGTCCCCTCATACGTCAATGCATAAAATTGTTCGTGTAGGTCTCTTTCCCGAATGACTCTAATATATTCCAAAAAAAACAATCCTTAAATTCATTCCACGAACGGATCGGGTATATGGTCTCCCTCAACTGAAACCAGGTTTAGGCTTTCCCATCCAAACATAACTCTGCTACCATGAGTTTCTCCTGCACATCTAACCCATTCACCACGAAGTATTGCTCCACCAATACACCCACTTTGCACATCTTTTCCCTTAAAGATTGACTTCTTCAACTTTCTAATCATAGTATCACCACTTTAACTTTCTCTTCCGCCATTGTTTTCCCTCATGTATTGAGCGTAGAACTCCCTTCTTAGATCTTAGCCATGCCCCCCTCCAGACTTCTCTTATTTTTTCTTCATGCTCTTCCATACCCCTTACATAACCCATTTGCCTCTATCAGAAATCTCTAATTCTCCCCCTTTGGAGCCTTGGTAAGAGGTTCCTTCTCATTTTCCTCTCGTCCGATCTTTTTACTTTTCAATTTAGCCAATGAATCTCCGGTCAATCCTTGGGTAAGGTTTGTAAACTGAACTGGCTGTTGGGTCTTGGATTGTATCTCAGTAAGCTTTTTCAGCATTTCTTCCAAGCTCTCGAATCGGTTGTCAATGGTAGAAAACCTTTTCTTTATCTCGAATTTATGGCCCCGCTTCTTCTTCCAATTGTTTCTCCAAATTATCTATTTTCTTGACGCCATTATTTCTTGTCTCTAGGACGGGTCACTGACTTCTAGAATTACGATTAAGACACACCTAAGCCCATCACAGACTTTCCCACTACGACTTGTTCTCTCTTGTTACTCAGATAACTCTAACCGCAATCATATCGCAAGGCTTTGGTCATGGCTCTATAAGATCCCATTGTCTAAATTAGGATGCTTTTCCACAAAAATAAGGGCAAAATATTATTTTATTCAATAATCCCACAACTCAACAAGAATACAAAAGATGAAAACCTATAATTCGAGAGATATGTGATCTCTCCTAATTCTTACAATTGGAGAGGTAGGGGATCTTTCTCAAATCCTAACTCTAGGACTCACAACTCAATCTCATACATCCCCTAACCCTAAAATAATAAAGCATATTTATACCCAATAACAATAATAATAAAAGTCTAAATTACCCTTAGGTATACAAAAGACAAAATTGCCCTTTGGGTGGATACCGGCATAACAATATGCTGGTGTTTTATGCATATGACTCTTGAGAAGGCACCAAGATATTTATATGAGCTAATGTGAATCTCAATCTATTTTGGTTAATACTTTTTTTGTATTCAAATCCAAGATCCAATTTATAGTTTCAACAAAGTTACAGTTAAATTGAACATCTCGATAATATGAGCCCAATGACACTAAAATATATTCAATCCGAGTCTAGATAAGCCCAATCAAACATTTCAAGCGCATTCAAAATCTTTGGAGTATTAATTGAAAAGTTAAATGATCTCTAAATTTGACATATTTATAATTAAACTGAGTATCTCGATAAAAGCAATTGAACGAGCCCAAAATCATTTAATTATGAGGTTATATAGATACTTAAATGTTGAGAAAATATCATGTGCTTAAAAGAATCAACACAGACCATCTGATTGAGTGTTTTGGGTGGTGGTTCAAATTTACTAAAGAATCCCTCTAGAAAATTCTGAGTAGGCTCCCATTCTTCACATGGAGGGGGAGGAGAAGAGAAGATCGAGCTAAGTATGACACTCACGGAGAGAAGTGTTGGTGAATGACAACTAACTATTGTAGATTAGCAACATCAATTGATGTTGTGAACTACGGTTGTTTCCTCTAGATATGACTTCTATAGCTAACTACGGTTGTTGCAACCACAAACTTTAGTCGTTATAGCTCAATTATGACCGTGTAGCCAAGTTACTACTATATATTTGTGATTATTAGTTTTTGTAATACCATTTTCCTTATTTCAAGAGAAGAGTGGACATTTGTATTTTCAATTTTTTACGTGAATTATATTGATTGGATCAAGCCCGTGACTTTTTTCCTATACAAGGCTCTTCCGCGTAAAAAAATTGATCAACTCTTTCAATTTTATCTGTATGGAAGATCATAGTAAGCTTAGGCTCGAGATTTTTCCACTGTTGAGAATTTTCTATAACGCAGTTGGTTCATCCAGTTCCATATTGTTGGTTTTGCTTCTAAGAAGTGGTTTGTAATTTTGTGTTTTAGGGCCTTGAAATCATTTGGAAATTAACGCTTTATGATTTTTATAGCAAATCAAAGGTTACGAGATTCTGTAAAACCTCAATGCTCCTTTTTTTGTTTTCTTTCTTTTTATGCTTTGTTCATGCCATCACGAGACCAAAGAACTTCCTAATTGGTTCTGCATTGCTTGTGAAACTTTGTTCCCCTTTATTTTTAAATTTGATGGCTGCAGATGATTGTTTGCTTAAAGACAACCTACCTAAAGGAATGATCTCTCGCTGTCCCTCTTTCTCTGCCTCTTTCTTGATTTTCCAGCATGCCCGTGAACAGAGATTCAAATATCTCAGAACTCTATTAAGCTATCTCTTGAGTGCATTTATCACATACAATTTGTAAGGAGTTGAACAGGAATCGTATTATAAAGAAACTGTTGTATTCCTTCAGCACTTGCTACTTTTTAGAAAGAAATAATGGTGCATTCCTTCTTCTTTTGAAGGGCTAAATGTGCAACATTACGTTGATATCTTTGCTCCACTCTAATGACAAATGTTTGCATTTCGTGGCATATCTTAATACCTGTTTCCAAGATGACTAAGAGATAAAATTCCAACTTTTATTTGTATTGCTTATTGTGCTTATTATTGATGAAGTGACTGTAGGTGGCCATTTATATTCATTCTTAGATTTATTGGGCAATTTTTCTTTGGTGTAGGTTTGTCTCTTTGTTTTTTTTTATTTAGTTTTAAAATTTTACCAAAGAGTATATATTTTCCACAATTCACTAGCTTTTCTTCTCATGATTCACCCTCTTGTTCTAGCTCTTTTGTTAGATTTTCATATGATGATATTGATTTCCTTTTCTTGTTAACAGGACGAGCCTATTTTGCGTCACATAGTAAAAAATAATCTCTTGAAACCAATTTTTGAAGTTTTTATTGAGAATGGAAATCGCTATAATATGTTACACTCCGGTGTTCTGGATCTTCTGGAGTACATTCGTAAGGTATTCTATTCTTGCCTTTGCATGCTTGGTTACATGTAAATTTTGGTTGCAAAGTTTTCTTTTGGGTGCAGGAAAGTCAGAAAACTCTGATCCTCCACATAGTTGATTCCTTCTGGGACAAGTTGAAGAACTTCGTGCATCTGGGTACATTTCAAGCCCTAAGAACAAAATATGAGCAGGTAAAATCTCAATGCTTTTATGTATATGATTAAGTTCAGTCCTTTTAATTAATTTTGTATGCCTTACTGCTGGTTGATTCTATATCTTAACAGTCTCTAGAAAATGGCGATACAAAAACCATTATTAATGTTGCAAATCCTAGAAAGCGTACTGATGAACGAGCTCTTGATAAGGAAGAAGAAGATTACTTCAATGAAGACAGGTTTATTTTGTTAGCATAAAATTCATTTGTGTTCCTGTAGTTGTTATGCAGGTTATGTCTGATAGTGCTATGCTACACTATTTATCAGTGACGAAGAGGACTCCGCTTCAGCTCGCGTGCCAGGTGCAGGAAATCATAATGCATCAGCAGTTTTGTCCAATGGACCCAATGCGACAAAGCCTATTGGGTACACTATATCTTCATTTTCTGCGCCACTTCCATTTCAGCTAGTATAGAACATATTTTTTTTTCCTTTTTGCTAACAATAAAAACTGTAAATTGCATTAACAAGCAGTAAGTGTTGAGTGGGGGACTGATCTTGTAGTGTGTTATTGTTTGATGTGGAATGTGTGGATAGGGAGGAGAGATATGTTCTTTATTAGCAGATTGACATGGGAATGATTCTGTTGTGTGACCATGCATGGTTGTTTGATTTGTGTGATAAGGAATTTATATATAGAGGGAGAACCCTTGAGTACGTGTTTTCCGATAACTTCAATTAAAACTAAACTGAACTATATTTTATAATAATTTTAATTTATTGGGCCTAATATTACTCATTATCCAAATGAATTTGCTAGCAGGTTTCATTTTATAACATATCACGGCTATTTTGGAACTGTACAGTTTTTATTAGCTTTTGTATTTGTTATCATATCTGAGCTTGGCTCCTCTTGGTATATTTCACTTATTGATCTGATTACTATATTTATATTGAGATCAGTTTTGATGAGGAATGTCAGGATTCATGTAGCCGACCGCTTTTAATGGGATAAAGGCTTGTTGTTGTAGTTGTTGTTGATTTTTATTTATACCATTGCTCATTCATCCTTTGTATTTTTTTCCAGGCCTGGAGCAGTTGGACTTGTTGACTACGAGGATGACGAGGATGATGAGGATTTTAATCCTCCGTGCAGACCCGAATCTTCTGCTGCAGACGAGGACAACATTTTGCCAGATTTATGCAAGTCAAAACACAAATTATCTTCTTTAGATAGGAAGGATTTGAGTTTTGAGTCAATGAAGAAGCGCCGTGTTGATCAGAATTCGCGGGAATTTAAGGCTGTTGAGGTCAACAACACCAACCATATCGACAAAACTAACCCACCGGAACTTTCACCATCATTTGATCCGTGCGCTGCAGTTTTAAATGGCAAATTAGGCGAGCATATCGAAGATAGGGAATGTTCAACAGAAAAATCAAATAATGCCACTTCTACCCCTGATACCAGACAACCCACTCCAGAGGACAATAAGTTGACACCCATCAGCACTCCTTCGCCGGAGATGAATGTAAATAATGCAAATGTTAGCAGTTCAGAGCCCTATTCCGTGAGATAATAATTCCGGGAGACTTAGTTTGCCCAGTAATGTTTTCATGGAGAAAAGAAATGATAAAAAGGGCATATTCTCGTCTTCGGAAACAGCTAATTAGGAGCGAAGATGGGAATAATTTACCCTCGGCAATTCTGCCCATCGGTTTGGGGAAGGTGGAGTCAGTTATGATGCAGCATATAATGGTTTTACTTAATTATGTAGAACATTATTTAGATCTTTTAATACATTTGTTTGCAGCTTTGAATGTGGGCATAATCCAAATGCCCCCTTTTTTACATCACTAAAATTTTGTTAAAGTGTTGTTTTATGTTAGAGGAATATTTTTCTTTTCTTTTTTTTTTTAATGTGGTTTGTGAAGGGATTAGTGGTTGTTAAAATCATGTTTTAAATGATGATATAATTCATTTATGGCTTCAGTGGGAGTCACAAGGGCAAATGGGTGCTGATACCTCTTTTTTGCAATTGTTTTTACTTGCTTTTATTATCAATGATGCCAAAAGTTAGACGATTACATTTATAATACAAATTTCGTGTTATAAATTTATGCATGTTTACTTTTACGATGATATTTTCGTATATTTGACGTGTTGTTAAAGATTTGAGTGGTATGCGTATTAACACGAATGTTTTTAGGTGTTAGATATGGAAATAGAGAAGAATTGTATGGTATGTCTGTAAATGACTCACATGTTGATAAATCTTAATGAATAAATAAGTTTACATTCAGAGCACTCAATTCTTATGCATTTGCCTATCTCACACCAAAACTCTAATGTTTACAGCATTTTATCTATGGATGAAAATGTAAATTTGACTCTCGGGGAGTGGTGAAAAAGATAAGTCGGGGGCTTGATTTGTAAAAATAAAAGTTTGGGCGTGAGATCTGTAAAATCAGAAGAAGTGGGTGACGTTTATGAAAATTTAACACTTTTAGTTCGTGGAAGAGTTGGATCAGCAGTAACATCCTGTAGAACCTGTGTTTTATCGATCACATTCCTATAGACACAGTGGTTCTCTGCAGCATCCTGAGCTCAATCAAGTTCAACAATCAAGTTCAACAATTGTTAATCATTCAGAAGAAAAACTTTAGCCCTTTGTTTGATTGTTATGTCATCTAAATGTAGATGTTAGAAGATTTACAAACATACCACTCAATTCCTAGGTATTTACATTTCTAACACCTGAACTTTCAATTTTTACATGTGTCATACCACCTTTCCAATGCATGCAAAGGTGGTGTATTTCAACTTTTAAGAGTAAAGAAAAATGATATTTTTTATGAGGTGTAAAAGAATTGGGTGGTTTAAATGTAAAAAAGCAAAGTTTTGGTGTTGGATATGTAAATACATAAGAATTGGGTGGTATGTGTGTAAATACACAGGTTTATAGAATTTGCTTATTGATTTATATAAGAAATTAATTAGTTTCCTTTCCGATTATTTCTTATTTGTTGTATTTCATAGTTTATGAATTTTCTTTTATCATGTAGTTATTAGGGAGAGATTTGGGTATTATATTTTTCTTATTTTAAAATCATTGTATTCTGTATTTATACTCTTTTCAATAGCAGTAATATTATCATGTTCAATTCCCAAAGCCTCAATGGTATCAGAGCCATGGATCTTACCCTAGCCGCTGGGACCTTACCCTAGCCACCAGAACTTCCCTGCAGGCCTTCCCCTGTAGTTTTTCAACCATCGGATTCCCTCTGTCGCCTCTCCCCTGCAAGGTTCATCCGTCGACACCCTTTCCTACAAGCTCTCCAGCCGCAGGTCGCTCCCCTGCTGGCTGCCCAGCCGTCGAGCCTTCCTTTTGCAGCTAGATCTCTCCTCTGCAGGCCCTCACGCTACAGGACCTCCCTCCACGGTTGGTTTGTTGTCAGCTACATAAGGGACCGTCTATGTCTGTCTCAGCACCCAAACGTTACCTTTGGCTTCATAAGAGTCATGGTGGATTCCTCCACTACTGAGCTTTCATCCGACGTTGTTCATGAGTCCACCGGAGGACCGACGCCTACCTCAATCCCTTCGCAGACCATAGGACATGACAACCTCATGAATTTCCTGATAACCACTCACAAACTTAATGGCTTGAATTTCTTCCAATGATCTCAAGCTGTTTTGTTGTTCGTCAAAGGTCGAGGTAAAATTGGCCACCTACAATTCATGAACCTCTGAAGATGGACCCAACATATGCAGCATGGTAAATGGAGAATTTTATAGCTTTGTCATGGCTAATTAATTACATGGAGACCTCAATTGGCCATTTATACTTATTTCTTCCATCTACTCATGCCCTCTGGATTGTTGTTCGAGATACCTACTCAGACGTAGGGAATTTTGGACAACTTTATGAAGTTTCTAAGAAGATTCACAAGAAAAAATAGAGGTCGAAGACAGTGCCACAATATTGCAACGACTTGGTTGCTTTATGGATGGAATGTGACATCTACTATGACTCAATGTTGGACTCTCCCACAGATTCTTTCCTCTTCCAAAAAATTCATGAAAAAGATCGTATGTTCCAATTTCTTGCAGGCCTGAACAAGGATCTTGATGAAGTCTGAGGTTGTATACTTGGCCATAATCCTATTCCTTCAACTAAACAACATTCACCCAGCTCCACAACAAAGAAAGTCAGAGACTTGTCATGCTCGATAACTCCAATAATTCAGATGAGTCTTCAGCCTTGGTCTTTAACAGTGCCCCACACTCTGCTACAATATCGTGCACTAATCAATGTGCTTCACACTCCACATGTGATTTTTCTCATGAACCTTACCATACCCGTGACAGGTGTTGGAAGCTCCACAGGAAGCCGAAAAAAATTTTCTAACTAAATCTTCCATTGTTAAAGGTCCCCACTACAACCTCAAAATCCACAGTAGTTCAACTGGCCCCCACTCAAACCATCCCTGAATCATCAGACACCATCAAGAGTTAGAGGGAACACTTAATTAAGATTCTTGAATTTAGTTAAATCTCCTCTGGCTTGCTAACCACCAATATCCGCCAAAGTAACATTTCTATGACATTCACAGTTTTTGCTTCTTATAGTTTGTAAATTATTGATTCAGGTGTCACATGATTGTGTGTTATCAATTCTTCTCAGCATATTCTTTGTGCTCCAAGAGAGACACTATTAAAATTGTTGATGGCTTCTGTAATTCTATTTTAGGTAAATGTTGTATAAATAGCCAATTTGACTTTGGAATCTGCGTTACACAGACCTTTGCTTAATTGTAACCTCTTATCGGTCGGTAAGTTGACAGATAATATTGAACGCGTTGCTCATTTTTCTTACTCTTTGTGTCTTTTAGGATCGTCTTTCAAGGACACAATTAAGTAGGTAGTCGGACTGCTGAGTAGGTAGTCGGACTCTCCTTCTAAGAAAATGACATTAATGATGTAGACACTCAATTCCATATTTATAGTTTTTACCTCTTTACTGTTTTTCTAATTATGCTTTTATATTATCGTTTGGGTCATCCACATGCCTAGGATGTTATTTCGAGTGATATGGGATCATATTACATTCATATATAGCTCCAAGTAACTCGAGGAATCCACTAAACCGTCAATGGACGTTTTATGCACAAGGTTAGCCTGATATGGCCATGCTCGGAGGTGATCACTGTTGGCTGATATCAATTGATAATCTGACACGTTTTAAATATCTATTTTGATGTTAGGGACCATGCTCCATGTATTTGGAGCCTTTAGTGGTCCAATGAGTCCATAAAAATTTTAAAATATGATTTAGGCGCAAAATTAGGGTATAGAAGACATGATTGTGATCAGGAATGTTAACAAGTAGTTGACATCATTTGTTTCATACAATGCATTTCATATTTTCATTCGAGCATTTAAAGGTTATATTTCAATCAATAAATAGCCTTCAACAATCTAAGGATTGATAAAAACCTATTCACGCGAAGTGTGGTTCAATGGAGGTGAAAAACTAAGCTTTGTAGATGCCTGGGTGCAAACGTCTTGGGGGCCTTTGTGCCCAATCTGGCACATAGGCACTCTGTTTGGTGCATAGGAACCTAGTTTAGGCTTCTAGGCACCTAGAGTGGCACTCCCAGCCAGTAATTTGAGGCGTGCACCGAGGCTTTCAGGGTGTTATTCCATTCCTGAAAGAGTGGCGCTTATGCACCCAGTTTTGGGTTCTTAGGTGCCCAACCTAGTTTGGTGACGAAATAACATGTTGTCGAACCAGATAGAGTGTACTTGAATACTTAACATGTAGGGCAAAAAGCCACAATCTTTTTCATGATTTTCATGCCAATTTAAGAGGGCACCACAAGATTATAAGGAACCTTGGCCATTTTTGCAGGGGAAGTTCTTTGAAAGTGACTAGAGATCTCCTTAGGCAGTGAAGAGGAGGGTTTTTTAGAGAGCTTTTTGTTTTGGGCAGTTAGCTTTTTTCTTGGAGAGAGCTTGACTAAGGGAGTAGAGGAGAGCTCTGGAGAGAAGAAGAAGAAGCTCTTGGTTTTTTCAGCTCTTTCTCTCATCTTTTTTCTTCTTCCTACAGATGTTCTCTCATTTCTTCATCACTTATCCACTTCCATCTTATTTCCTTGAGAGAAGAGCGTTATGAGGATTCTCTTGGAGTTTTGGACTTTCGTTGCAAAGAAAAGCTTCATCCCTGCACTTGACATGGAAAGAGCTTGGAGCAAGCAGAGAGAACGCTACTTCAACCTTCATGGCGGTGAGATTTCTTTAACAACTTCATTTTTCTTCTTTTTCTAGCAAACCATTTTTTAGGATTTGTGTTAGAGATGCAGGATTAAGCTATTGTTAGAGTAAACTCTTAGGTTAGGCGCCTTTTTCTTTGGTTTTTCTATGATCCTTGAGTGATATACTCCAAGGTCCATTGATCCTTAACCCATCACAAAGAAGAGGTTGTACTAATCTTGCCATTTGCCGTGGCAGTTTCACTTGGATGAAAAACTGAAGCCATAAACCTAAAAAGTGGAGAAACCCCCTTGACATCCAATCTTAGGTCCTTCGGAAAACTTCTAATTTCAAGAAGTTTTTCGTGCTCGACCGCACAAATGTAGGTGGGTATCTTGTTGCCTCGCGTAACACGGTGTTGGTACACCTCTCCATCTTCTAAGCCTATAACTCATGAGAGTTTGTTAGGGGAGGTTTGACTTGTCGTTGAATGATTTGGGTCATTATAGCATTTTGAGCATATGTGCCTCGTGCTTGAACGCATTTGCATGATTGTAAAAACCTGCATAAAAATGAATTTTGCATCATTTCGGCTTTAGATCGGTTGATCAATGTCCTTATCTTGGTTTGATCGATCAAATGGTCATTTTAGTCTGATCGACTATTTTTGACTGATCAACCAATTTTGTTTGATTTGATCGATTGGTATATCAATGCGGGCTGGTCGACCACTTTGGTCAGCCGACTGCTT